CAAAGGGTCTGAACATAAAATGTTGTATTTTAATAATATGCACAACCTATTAGTGCATTTACAGTTTACTTAATATATTTTAATGTTGGAGGGATAATGAAACATTTAGCTGGTTGAAGTGAAATTATGATTTTTTTATTATTAATTTTTCATATGAATCAGTTTGAGATCTGTGATACCTCTCTGAGCGACGTCCTCTTCTGTTCCCAGGCTTCCCTCTGGTCTTGAAGTTTTACACTTCTACAAAACATTCCTGGCCCCTCTGAAGAAAAGAGATTTGTACATGGAGTGTTTGAAAGCACAACAGGAAAAATGATCAAAATCCATTTGAATTTAACCTCATACACACACAGGGTTGAGTAAGCATTCAAATATGCTGTTGTTTAATTGATCATGAATGTTTTAATTTGTCAAGATGAATGGTTTAAATCTCACCTTTTAACCGCTCATCATTTTGATAGAAAAAGAAAAAGGTATTTTTTGATGATGTCGGTTCCCTGCAGAAAATGAAGCTTTAATCAAAAAGTAATCCAAACCAGATTTACAACATTTTGTTGGTATATTTAAAGATATATGCAAAACGTGTTCGCTTATTTGATTAGTAACTTAGAAAGAGAGCAAGATCTTCAATATTTGCACAGTGAAAAAAAAAATGGTGTAGAAACAATATAAACCAGAAATTGTTAGTAAATTTCAAAGTAGCACATTGAATTAAACATGAAACTTTGAAGGAGAAAAACGGAAATATTATTTTCTTATTCATAATAGATATTTTTTGCTGAGTGCTTCATTTTAATATTTCTGTATTTTACACATTTTAAACATAATAATCCTAAACCTAAATTCTGTATCCAAGATTATCCATCAGTATTTTCGCTATTGACTACTCAGCGGATTTTGTGATTCATCTTTTAAGGAAACTCAATATATTTAAGCTGGCTTAGCATCATTAAAAATGTTTCTAGAGATACATTCCTTGTACTACCAAGCACAAACTGTAAATGATTAACAAATGCATTATAGTTTAAATGATAATATAATTACTCTGTGATTTTGCTGGAAGCGGATTGGTCCTCCTCAACCTCGTCCACTCCTTCCTCGTCTGAACTGCTGTCCTGGAAGCGAGGGTCCGCTTGCCAAGAGAACTTGGCTCCTTTTACTGTCTCTATTTTGTACTCGTCTGATTGGCAAAATGTTTTTATTAAATAAACAATGAAAACGTTTGAAAAACCCATGGCGAAAAACAATTTTAAAGTGCAAGGATACACCCAATATTTTACCTACAATGAAAAACGACATAAATGATCAGTGCACCTGTTTTGGTGGTCGTCTCCGCAGCGGTGTCTTCACCAAAGAAGGAGAACTTGAATCCACCTGAAGCATCTTCTTTTGCTTCCACATTAGAAGTGAAGGAAACCTCCATGTGTTTCATTATATCTTCAGTATCTTCTGTCTCTTTATCCCATGAAACCGTTTCCTTCTCGTCCTGGTTTTCTTTAGACGTCCCAAAGACCTCCTTCAAATCCACCGAGATGTCAAAGTAAACGTCCTTAGAAACTTCAGGGAGTTTTTCAGCCTCTATGCGTTTCTTTCGTCGCGCCGCTTTACTGTCCAACAACAAAAACACAAATGTTTAACGAAGTCACAATGAGTCTAAAATCCAAAAATGAGTTCATGTAATACCTCTCTTTCTTCGGTTCCTCTGTCTTGGCCTCAAAAGCAGCGTGTTCTTCTTGTGTCGGGTCGTAATGCAGGCTCGAAACATCTCTGCAAGATAAACATAAACCTTTAAAAACAAGTGAAAAGAACAAAACATGCTCAAAGAACATCCGAAGAAGTCATACTTGAACATCGTGCCCTTTCTGGAGTTTTGTGGTTGTATGTTGGTGTTTAAAATGCTTTGGAGGATGTCTAGACTTTTCTTTTTCTCCTCAAGAAGTTGCTTGTCTGCATCTTTTTCGGGAGCCGCTTCATCTGAAATTTGAAATATTAAAAACAGGTGAATAATTTGTTCAAAACACATTGAAACCCAAGATTATAGTTAAATAAATTACCTTGATCTTCAAACTCATCATCGCTTTCCAGAAATCTAGAATCGACCTGGAATCTTGAATCGGTTCCGAATCTGGCCTGCAGCTTCATGAGCTGAAATAAAGATGAAGATAGATGAACGAGAAATCAAATAAACTCTGAATCTCTCTCTATCCTGATAAAGACTCTCAATCCAAACCTTCTGTCCAGCTTTGCCCTCAAACTGGGGCTTAATCTGGAAACGATCGTCCTCAGAACCATCGTCCTCATCTTCACTGTCAAACAGCTTGCTGCCACCTGGCTTGATATCTTTCTGTGGAATTATGATGGAAACATGAAGAACATATCAAAGAGTTCAAGAAAATAAACCTCCAATTCCAATCTTGGTCCATATTTGCCTTTTCTTTCAACATGGACATTAGTTGATCTTCGTTAGATCCTGAATCATACTCGAAGAGGCTTTTTTTCAAGATTGTTGGTGGTTGTTCTGGTCTGCTTGTGGTTTCATCTTCTTCTTCATCATCATCAGAATCAAACACAATGTGTTTGCTTTTGTTCGCTTTCACTGCGTCCTGAAAAACATAATTTAGATTTTCAGTGAATTAGGACTTTAAATTAGTAACACAATGATATTAAAATTTAGGCCACTACAGATGAGACAATATCATTGTATCAGGGCTGCACAATTAATCGAAATTAAATCACAAAGGCAATAAACCGCGATTAGGCAGAAGCTGCAATTGTCATGCGTATCTTTCAGTGAAGCACGGTTCTGTGATCAGTAGTAAATCTCCATCCAAAGGTCAGAGGGCGCTCTCGCGCTGAAAATCCGAATATGTCCTGAAGAAGAAATCCAGGAAATGCCTATCGCTGCAGCTGAATAAACAGAAGATTTAACTGCTTTCATTGATTCAAAGTGACTAATAAACACACGACTATGGCAATATATGGTTTATCGGAGTTCTTATTATTATAATTTTCATCATAATCAAAGTATATCTATAATGAAATGCTAATCGACATAGCCATTATCACTGCTTAGAATACAATGAAATATTGTGTGCCTTAATTATTCTGTTTAAGAAGCCACATTATCTCACAGAAGGATTTATTTCAAACACTCGACTGACCGTATGAAGTGAGTTTGGAGTAAAAGCATGTTATTAAATGTGGTATTTTCACATGCTTTCAGATGGAGCAGCATTTACTACACAGAGCAGTAGTTCACTGAGAAGACACGCAAACAGCTGTCATTATCGCGAACGATTTAGTCGATTTCATAATCTTACGATTATATCGTCTGTGATTATGAATGCAATTTTGCATAGATTGTCAGAGAACTACGGCTCTAAGTAGTAAATGCTGCTCCATCTGAAAGCGGGTGATGGAGATTTACTACTAATCACAGAACCGGCTTTACTGACAAAATGTGCATGACAATCGCGATTAATCGCGTTCGGTTAATCGTGCAGCCCTACATTGTATAATTAATTTATGTACAATAAATCAATGAACTTCACATAACCAAAACATATGAAAAATACAAAGGCCAACATAGACCAAAAAATCTGTAAAACAATTAAGTTTACAAAACTAAAATATGTATGATTTATTAGCAAAGTTTTAAATTACATAACTTGAAATGTTTGTAAACCTGATGAAGGTCATGTTGACTGAAAAATCTTCAACATTTCTATTTTTCAAGTTTTGTAAGCCTTAGTCCTGTGCAGGATTTTTTCTATTTTTCTTTATAATTTATTTATGAATAATGACATGAAATAAGAAATAGCCAATATTAAAATGTGATACTATTTTGTCTGAATAAATTAAAAATAAAACACTTTAAATTCTACACATGAATTTAGGCATCACAGCATTATAATGTACAATACAATAGATTAACTTTTTGAGAGTTAGATGACAGAGCATGAAAAAAAAAAACTATACAAGTAATACTATTAAATTAAATGAAATCTCTAAAAACGACCAATAACTAACATTTTACAGATTCATTGTGCATCCTCACTTAAAATACTTCAAACTTTTATGGACTACCTCTACTCACCACGTTAGAAAGAGCACCTTGAATGAGTTTCCTCTGTTGCTCGGTTTCTTTCTGTCGTTGCTCCAGGGCCGCAAGACGTTTCTTGTTGTCCTGCTGTTGTTTCTTAGCATCTATCACAGTTGAGTGAAGAACTGTTTGATGTGAAACAACATTCTCCTGAACGTTCTTCGAATTGGCAGGTTTAGAATCTTTTGTCTGAGTTCTGGACTTCTCATCATCACTAGTTTCCGATTCCTCACTAGAAGAGTCACTGCTGGAGGATCTGGAGGTCTTCGTCTGCTTGGGTTTGATTGAGTTATTAGAGCTTACAGTTTTTGGGATGGTTCTTGCCAATTGGGTCGCTAAAGACGTTTTAGAAGTGAGAACTTTAGCATTGTCTTCTTCCTCGCTGCTTTCTGATTCTTCACTAGAAGAGTCACTACTAGAGGATCTGGAGGTCTTCGTCTGCTTGGGTTTGATTGAGTTATTAGAGCTTACAGTTTTTGGGATGGTTCTTGCCAATTGTGTCGCTAAAGATGTTTTAGAAGTGAGGACTTTAGCATTGTCTTCTTCCTCGCTGTTTTCTGATTCTTCACTAGAAGAGTCACTACTAGAGGATCTGGAGGAATCTACACTAACATCATCATCATCATCATATGCCTCATCACTACCATCATCAGATTCAGTTGAAGACTTGTTTTTACTGGATTCTGTTGGGGAATCTTGAGTAACAGGTGCAGATTCAACTTGTGTTTGGGTCTTTCTCCGAGTGAGTATTTCATCAGTGTCCGCAGAATCATATTCCTCATCGTCTTTTGATGAAGTCAGTAGGGACGTTTTCACGTCATCTTGTTCCATTCCACCCCAGAAAACATTATACTTGACAACAAAATCATCTCCCACCACCTCCAGGTTGTTGTCGTTGTCATCCTCTGTGGAGGTTTGTTTAGGGTTCCTCAAATGTTCTTGAGCAACCAACATTCTGATTTCATCTTCAGAGTCAGAGTCGTTGTCGAAAACACAAACAGATTTTTGTTTTCCTGTCTTTACAGCAGAGAGTCCATTTTGTTGGATCGCCACTTTGTTTTTGTTTCCAGTGGCAGCCGCATTAATTTCATTTCTCTGAGCCAAATTACTAAGAAACAAACTCAAGTCTATTTTGGATCTTTTGGGACACGGTTTCTGCTTTGGAAACTCTCCTCGCCTTTTCTTACTGATTTCATCGTCTCCACCTTTAATCTCCCATGTCAGCTTGGACACTGATGTGATGTCATCCGCAGTCTCCAGTCTCTTGATGTTGTGGCAGTGTTTGGATGGATCATACTTAAAAACGTATTCAAGAGTTAAGGGTAGATATTGAATTACATTGAAAGTATGACGGTGAACACTATTAACTGCAATGATTATATATTGCGATTAAACTTTGCGATTAAGCAAAATTTGGTAGTTTTTTTATTGTTGATTTATTGTGATTCTGTTCTTCATAATGATCCCAGGCAGGGGCGCCGCTAGCAATTTTGGGCCCTATGAAAGAAAATGAGGACAGGCCCCCTACCGCACCAAACATACAAGCCAACCTAGTTATTCAAAATCTTTGTCTGCAATTTAATAATACTGACCTATTACTTTTGCTATTGCTATACCATTAGGTATTAGTATTTAGTCAGAGACCTACCCATAGCCGCGGGAACATATTTTGGGGGTGCAGGGGGGCAGGGCTTGATGTTGAAGGGCGGGGCCAAGGTGGGGGATTTTAAACAAAATCCTAATATTAAACAGCCCAAACACTTATAGATGAACATACAAATTAATGAAGACAGAGTTATATGAGAATGAATATATATATTGGTGCTTTTGTGATTATAGCTCCATTAAATTTTTAAATTGTATTATTTTAATGAGATTTTACTAAATATTAACCTCTAAATTATGCTCCATTTATCATCTGCAATATCAGGCTGTAACCTCTAGATGGCTGTATAGCCCTATATATAAATGCATGTAAACCGTTTGCTGCAGAGTGAGAACTTAAGACAAAGCACGTTACTTGTATTAGGTTATTCATTGATATATTTTCAGACATTATTAAAGACTACATTTAGTAAAAGTTTAAATTTAAATGTTGATTTGAAGTGTCAGTTATTATTATTGTAGTCAAATCTGGACACAGAGAAAGCATTTTGTTACTCATACTAGCTACAGCTTGATCAGTCACACTAAAGTCATCAGAATAAATATTGGCATAGTGTGACCATGGCAGTATTTTAAAACATATAATTTAGTGTTTACATACATTGAACAGAGACACTCTGTGGTAGAGATGTGCATCCTATTTGAAAAAATCTGCATCGCAATCAGCAACTGGTAAATTGAGATTCCAGTAGCTTTACTGGCATGGTAAAAAGGCTTTACAAAGCATTGACAGCGCTTCGAACCAATGGCATTGAGCGTTATCAAATTTAGAGGCTACAATTCATAGTTTTCAGTCATGTGACTGGTTCGAAGACCTGGCAGGCAAAACATCCATAGAATTGCAGCACAAGCCTGTCGATTTTCCATTTGTTTCCAATTCACAAATATTTAGATCTTTTGATGACCGTACATATACATCTTTGTCGAACTCGAAGACATCTCTAATTTGACAGTTTACCATCTAATCTCACTCTAGGCTATATAGGACGGGACAGAACCATGCAGTGAATGGGGGGGGGGTAATTTTGCCGCAAATGCAGAAATAAGCCGTAATTTTGTTTTATTTGTAAGTCTTTGGTAGATACATTTATAATTTCTATTACATTACTTCTACTACTGTTATTACAAATAAAATAAAATAAACAAAAAAGTATGTTTCAATAAAAAAATTTAGTTTGGAAAATGCATCTGCTAGTTTTAGGTAATGAACATCTCAATGACTTGTTTCTCCAAGCAAAAGGGCACTTGCAAGCATATCTGTGTCAATGCTTTTAAGTAAATCGTCCTAGAATTGTGACATGGAAAAGGATATATTGTTCTTTCCTTTACACTTCTTGGTAGATACATTTATAATTTCTATTGCATTACTACTAGTACTGTTGCTGCTAATAAAACAGATCTCTGGGGGCCCCAAGAGTGCATGGGCCCTTAGAATCCCCCCCTTAGCGGCACCCCTGATCCCAGATATAAATATTTTTCAAAAGATGGCACTTCACTAAAAAAAAGCCAATGTCAGCAGACAAGAAAGGGAGAGGATGACAGATAAAATAAACAAAAAAGTATGTTTCAATAAAAAAATTTAGTTTGGAAAATGCATCTGCTAGTTTTAGGTAATGAACATCTCAATGACTTGTTTCTCCAAGCAAAAGCGCACTTGCAAGCATATCTGTGTCAATGCTTTTAAGTAAATCGTCCTAGAATTGTGACATGGAAAAGGATATATTGTTCTTTCCTTTACACTTCAGATTCACGACAGGAAGTACCCTCCCAAATTTACTCACGACCCAATTCTGGAAGAGTGGATAAACACAAAACCAAGGTTAAATCAGCATCTGGGCCATTTTTACAACTGGACAAAAGTTCTTAGCAAAAGAAAATCACACAGACCTTATGGCCGGGAATATCAGTTCCTGGAACGGCAGCTTTCATGTGGAAATTCTCAATGCCGGCCACTTTAAACGAATCCACTAATTTCTCCTGAGGGATGATCTTTGGTGCCTTGGCCTTTTCAACCAGTTGCTGTCGTTCCTCAGCAAGTCTAAAAAATATATATACAGAATCAGTATATATATATATATTGTAACAAAATGTTTAACCAATATTTATTGGTTGAAGAAAGTTTTTACTTATGTAGAAAGCTTTCTTTTGCCAACTGAATAAGCAAGGTTCCACCTTTCCATGTGGATTTATTTAAGATGCCTACACCTGTATAAAAAAAAAGCAAATGTACAGATTGATTTACTTCATGACAAAGAAAGCAAAAAATAATTTATTTAAATAACTATACGTACATCTTTTATATTCAGCATCTGTGATGTTTATGTTGATGTAGCCAAATGTTTTCAGAGGAGCTCCTGCAAATAGATCACAAAGATATTGTGCATATGTGAATGATATTGAACAGGTACCCAGATAATGTAATAGAAATATTACATTAAATTCGGTTGCATTTAATAGATTTGATTTTTTTTGGTTTTCATAGAATTCTTACCATTCTCATCTTTCCTCGTAATGATTTCCACATCTGACACATCCCCAAATTTTCCAAATCTGTCTTTGAGGTCCTTCTCAGACACTCTGTGACCAAGGCCACCGATGTACAACCGTTTCATGGCCAGATTTCATGCAACCAAACCCTTCTGTGTACCATCAAAACACACATAATGAACCACACCGAAGTCCCCATATAGGAAGGAAGGCATACAAAATAAATAAAATCATAGTATTGCGGAACCTAACTGCCACTTGACAGTATCAAAGATAGACTCAACATTATATAATAAAATTATATATAACTATTGTGGGGGAAAAAAACTCAAATGTGCAGACAATGATTGTTGCTCAAGAGGGCACCATATGATGTTATGATCCCACTTACATCTATTTTTACAATAATTATAATTATTAAATTATCATGATTTTTTTTAAAGTAATATAATTGTAGATAAATTCCTAAATATTATGCAGTACTGTACGTATCATTATTTACCTTGTACACAAATGTAAGCACCAGTTCTTTAATTAAAATATAACATTTTAACTGCATTGCAAAAGACATACAAGTATCAAAATGCATGCAAAATGAATAACTTTGCAAAACAGGCTACTTGAGATATTCTTGCTGCCAGATGAGTGCATGTAGATTGTGTGCTTTAGGACTTAATATATTCACAGCCCTGCAGCTGGTTGCAGCAAACCCGTTAAGTTAAGAAAACCATTAGTAATAATTTATTTTATTTTGCTTAAGTTTTGAGTTTTTCTGAGGAATAGTTCACCCAAAAATAAAAAATTGCATAAAATTTACTCACCTTCAGGCCATCAAATATGTAGATGAGTTTGTTTCTTGGAACAGATTTGGAGAAATGTGTCACTTGCTCACCAATAGATCATCTGCAGTGAATGGGTGCCGTCAGAATGAGAGTCTAAACAGCTGATAAAAACATCACAATAATCCACAAGTAATCGACATGACTCCAGTCCCTTAACTGTCAAGCAAAAAGCAAATCCGTCATTAAGACCACTGTTTATGGCTAAATATTAGTTCTCTGTCCTTAATATTGCTTTCTTCAGTGAAAAAGTTCTCTGTTGAATTAGGAGAGAAATATGCATATGGACTTTTTTACAGGAGGAAATGTTATTATGGATTATGGAGTCTTTTTTTTTGGCCAAAAGCAATGGTTTGAAGTTAAAATGCCTTAATGATGGAATTGTTTCTCACAAACATAACACAAAAACTTACAAAGTTCATACTAAGATGCTGTAAATCAGTTGATATTTGGTTTTATTTTGTATTTTGGGGTTTGTTTAAATCCTGAACCCTGTGTAATGCCTCAAATCTTGTGGCACGTTGAGGAGAAAGGTAAGTGATCAGCATCATGACATGTTTTGTATTATAAAGTGCCATTCAATTTTTCTTAAGAAAATGTGGTAAAGTGCTGAAATTCTCACATATCACCAACAATCATTTAAACTCCTTACAGTTCAAGGTTATTAGAACCAGTGATGATTATTCTTATACACAACACTAGAGGGCAGCATGATTCCATTTTAACCATGACATTTCCTTTCAACATCTGAGATTTGTGCACTAGTCTTAAAACGCCTCTTTAATGGATTAGACTCGGCATGTATAGTTCTTCCAGTTCTTCTTGTTTCTCTGAAATTTTCATGACAAGCATAAATGCAACTCTTTGAGGGCCCTCCTTAGCACAAATATTTACATAGTCGCATTAAATGATTTAGAATAGAATTGTTGGTTGGAGACTGATGGCTCTCTTAAAAAATTGTGAGTTATTTTAAACTGACAGCCTGTGGGAAGATCAGTGTGACATGATAATGAAGGGTTTGTTTGTGTCTAAAGCTGAGTCAATTGAAAATCTTTACAGTGAGAATAGTTGAGAATAAATTTGAAGCGTTATATAAAGAAGTAAAAGCAGTTTCGTGCTCCAGTCTTCACAACAAAATTTTTTTTTCCTGAAGAAAGGAAATCCCATAAACCATCAGTCTCATGACAGGTAATATAAAAAATGCAGATCAGTTTAAAATTATTTAACAAGACTGTTTATGATCTTGTCTAACTCTCAGTGTTTTATTACAGGAGGATGATGCACTGCTCAGGAGAGTTACAGAGCTTAATATCGTTGTGGATGGCGTTGAATTCAAAGATTTCTCTGCATTTGTGTCCAGGTAGAGTGATGATTGGTAACTTCTTAATATCAATGGTGTGTTTGTATTTCAATTCAGGTCATCCAAGATGAAGATGAGTTTGTTTCTTCAGATTCTGAGAAATCTAGCGTAGCGTTAGTTCTGGCAGGTCACGTTAGTCAAGCTTGCATCAGCTGACTCTCAGCTGATCCCCATCAACCTATGGGAATACGACACCTATCTAAGTATTCATATATAAGGTCCCTCAGTATTATCAGCAGTTTTCGCATTGCTCAATAGCTAATTACCCTCCTCCATCCCCAACTCCTCCTCTGTTAGTCAGGATTCAGTCTTCTGATTCTCCTTTGAATCAGACTAATTCTAAAATGTGTACATGACATTATTGAACTTAACGATATCTGCAATACATTTATGTTGGTTCTGTTCTGTTTACCCTGGGGGGTTATCGCTGCTCTCCCTGCTCTCATCCATGCTAGGCTGCATGGATGCGCAGGGAGTTCTTGTCCAGAACAGAACCATACCACCAATCCAAACTGTATGCTAATTGTCAATCATCTTTGACGATTGTGGTCCTGACAGAAATGTAGCATTACATCACTTGCTCACCAATGGATCCTCTGCAGTGAATGGGTGCCGTCAGAATGAGAGTCCAAACAGCTGATAAAAACATCACAATAACCCACAAGTAATCCACACCACTCCAGTCCATCAGTTAATATCTTGTTAAGTAAAAAACTGTATGTTTGTAATAAATCTGTCATTAAGATGTTTTTAACATTTAATCGTTCTCTGGCTAAAATACGAGTCCACTACCATAATATTACTTTCTCCAGTGATAAAATGGTCTTGTCTGAATCAGGAGAGAAATATGCACAGATCTAGCACTGTTTACAAGTGAAAACATTTCTAAACAAATATGTTGGTGGACTTTGATGTGAGAGGAAAACAGGGGATGAACTTTTTCACTGGAGGAAGCCGTATTATGGATCATATTTTGGTCAGAAGCAACAGTTTTAGGTTAAAATGCCTTAATGATGGATCCGTACAAACACACATCAGTGTTTCCAACAGACTTACACTCTGTGTGGCGGCATTTCCCCTGAGGGAAATATATACAGTGCACAGTATAAATGAGTACACCCCCTCTGAAACTTAACAAATTCAGCAATTACTCTTTGCTTAGAAGACATGTTATGGTTTTTTAGAGATATAATATTCCAGCAAGTCTGCTTGATCAGTTACCAAAGAAGAATGTTAAAATTATTCAAGAAAATAATTTTTTTTATCAAAGTGATAAAATGTTGTGTTGCAAAAATGAGTACACCCTCCTGAAAGTTACTAAATAAATACAAAAATAATTAAAAAAAATTCTGGTGTAAGGTTAAGGCAAGTATGTTGAACCAAAACTGTTAAAGGTAAGTAATTTCTTGATAATTATGTGTTATATGGCCCACTGAATCATACTCAGACTTAATGCTGACAACAATGAAACCACTTGAGAGAGAACTG